ACCGGTCCCATGGCCGGTGGGAGCCCCCACTCCGCGAGGGCGCCGGCCATTGGGCTGCCCACTCACATTGTTACGGGTGCGACGAGCAAGGACAGCAAGGAGGCAACTTGTTTCACATCGTTTTCCACGTTAACGTTTAATATGAGGCGGTGGAAGTCAACCAACGAGATGGGGGGGGCCTGGGTTGCGGGCCTCAGTCATCAGTCAGTATCCCCGCACCCTGAACCCCATCTTCCCCGGTGTGGGGCCTCTGAGGGGCTCTACATGCAGCCCGACCGCGATGTGCTTTGGAGACGGGTCCCCCCTTCCGGGCTGCACCTGCCCCCGCCCTCCAGGCTGCACCTGTTCCCCGTCCCAGGCTGCACCTGTCCTCTCTCTCATGCTGGGTGACCCTTCCCTCCACTGCCGGGAGCCGGTCCATCCTTGCTGTTTCAAGGGACCTGGCATATATGGCTCACTGTGCTTAATATGTTTGGTCACCTTCTTGGCACTATGTGTTTTAACCAAGGTCACCTCTCCGAGAAAGGTTGTTTCCCCAGGTAGGGATTTTCCCCTGAAGTTCGGGAGGAATAAAACCTCTTAACTAAGTGCCAGGCGGTTAATTAATCACTTTAACTACGAACAATCATGCTTAAGTACATAATCTTTACTCCCTGGAATGGAGATAAGAAACACCCTAACCTTTGGAATAGAGATGGATAGGATTAGAATCAACTGGTATAAATACAGATGTAACAAGGCAACAGGAGACAGAACTTAGGAGACAGAACCTACACAGAACCTAGACAGAAGAACTTCGCTGGAGAGAACATGGCAAAAGATCCTGGACAGAACCTGGCTACAGAACTTGGAAGAGAACATGGACACAGAACCTGGCTGGAGATCCTAACCAGAACTTCTCTGGAGATCCAGACCAGAACTTGGCTGGAGATCCTGGCTAGGCTGCTGATCAACTGAACGCTGTCTCCGTGTCATTCCTTCTTCGCCGACTCCGTCCACACCTTTGGGGACCCCTGGACCCGCTGGGGCTGGACCCCAGCACTCCACCCGGGCTCCTCTCCACTTCACGCGACAGCGATCGCGCGAGCTGGGTGCCTACTGAGCAGCACCCACGGGACATGTCCCAGGAGAAGGGGGCAGACGCGACAGAGGAGGCACTGAGTCCCGGTCACGGCCCACTCCGCTGTCAGCATAGATTCCAGGGGACCGGCCAGACCCCCG